ACTAATTAATCCAAATCTCTTGGTATTACTATTGTTGGGAAATTTTCGTTAAGTTATTTCAAGGTTTTGATATTAGTGGCAAACAGTAATCACCATTTTATGCAAGTTTTTAGTACGATATTTATACTGATGTCCCTCTTGTTTACTTCTGTTTAGAGATTCCGGAGTTCTTTAGGTAGGATTTTGATTTTGAGCAAATTGTTCTTTAAGCCCAAAACTGTTAAGACTGAAGATTTTAATTGATAAATTGTGACATAAATCAACAACTAGTGTTATCAAGATCTGATAAAAATAACTAATGTTAAATTTTAGTAATTTTTTTACTTGAATATGTGTTTCAGACAGATACTCACATCTCTGCACCACAAAGAACAATTACCTTGCACAGACTGCCATGTAATTTCCTGCATCTGCCACAAGTCTTGAACAAAGTTTCCACCTCTATATCTGTCAACATGTATTGTGCTAGCTTATGATGTAATCATCATTAGACTATACCTCTCAACCAATAAGAAGGTGAAAAGTCTTTCATGTGCAGTAATCCCCATGATTACTAGCATTTGAACAAAGGCTCATTCTTGACAAGGTAAACAAAAGGCATCAAAACTGGGGAGGAAGGATGGGAAGTGGTGCAGAGAGATAAGTATCTATATGAAATATATTTTCAGGTAAAGAAAATGTTAACTTCAGAAATGCTACTCACCTCTCTACACCACAAAAAGTTAGGATTCCACAATGACGAGTCAGGTGGAGGAGCCAGTATAGAAAAAAAAAATTAAACAAAGATGAGCTCCTTTCTGAAAAAGGTGTCAGGAAGGGAAACCTCATGGAATGCAACCCCTATCAGGTGGAGGATGAGGGTAGCTTAGTGGGGCAGCACTTGGTGGGAGACCACATTCACCTAAAACAGGGATTATTTTTTTCCCAATGTGAATGTGGTGTTCATTGTAAGGAGAGGTAGAGCAAGGAAAAAAGTGACACAATCTTTTGCATGGTACTAAATTGTTGCTCATGTGGGTGGAATGTAATATTGCTCAACTGGCCATTATCTCACATGTAGCCAGCTGAGCATGAATGTGTGGTGTGGCTAAGGCTAGAAGTCAGGTTGCTTAATATTTGAGAAATATGTGAGATAATCACCACAATCAGATGCAGGGAGTAGCATCCCAGACCTACATTCCAAGGTGAACCCAAGACCCATCTACTTAGATCTAACTGGGAATAGCTTGGTTCAGAATGTAGTGGAATGTCTTGTACTACACTACCAGGTAACACTCCAGCCTTACTTTGCAAATAAGAACTGCATCCACTCAGTCTTGTACCAGTAAGATTGCACCAGTCCATATTGACTTGCCTAGAGGCTTGGGACTAGTGAAGCAAGGGTTCTCCTATAATCCACTAGAAGAATTGGGGAAGGGGTAGAATTAATCTGGGGTAAAACAATGGAGAGATACACACTGAGAAACAGTGCAATGGGTTACCACAACTAAAAAGAGCTGGTGCAAACAAGGTGTGAAAGCAGGTACACCCCCAGTGCTGTTTGTAATTCAAGTGTACAATGGCCTGGAAGATACATACAGACATAGCTGAAGCAGTCTTGCAAAGAAACAAACAAAAAGAAAACATCTCAATAGCAGGCACTGAGCAGGGGCAAATGGGCTTAACACTTGATGCAGATATCAGGTAAGTATTCCTAGTAAGGCAAAACAGGCCACAAGGTGGATTCCACTGGCATCAGGTGATGAAGTACTAGACCTAAGAAGAGCAAAGAGTGACTGGGAGTGATGGTGAGATACATATAACATTTCTTGAGAGCCTCTGTGTAAACTGGAGAATAGTGTCTACAGGGAGGTAAAAATCAGAAGCACAGGAAACCATCATGTGGAATCTCATTCTGGGGACGACACTGACAAGAGAGGAGAGAAGCCGTGAGATGACAAACCTTATGGGGGTGATGCAATAAAGTGTAAGAACATCTTCATCCAAAGAAGAATACATCAACCAGATGTGTTGAATAACCCACCTGGTTAAAGTCATGAGAAAGGCATGAATAGCTGATGACAAATTTCATCGAAGAGCTTTTCAGGTGAGATAACAATGAAAAGCACAATCCAGATGCAAAAGTTGATCTGGGTTAGAATGATCATATAAAGAAGAAATGGAAGGGATAGTAATGGGAGAAAACAACCAATCAACCCAAGTTTATGGAAGAAAAGAACAAGTTGAAAATAAAATCAACTGAGTGCAGAACTTGTTCAGAAGGTTTCCTGCAAGCATAAGATGAAAATGGTTCAAACAGAGGACTAGTGAGAGCCTTGAGAACAGCACAGAGGTTCCTTGTCCAGAAGATGGACCAGGTGAGGGGGACAACTGATGAGAAAAGCACAGCAATTTGTTGATGTACGTTATATCTCTGTTTAAAATCCTGGTAAAAAAAGCATGTCAAATGGAACAGAGAAGAATGATCTGGCAAAAAGAAGTGGTGAAGATACCCAAAGAATTCATCCACTGAGCAAATGCTCATATAATCCAATTGAAAATGTAAGGGGCTGTGGCTAACCTGAAGGGAAGGTCCTGGAACTAAAAAACCTGATTGTTGTAAATAAACCAGAGGAAACAATGGGGTGACAGACAAACTGGGATAAGAAGATATACACTGAAAACACTGACTTTGTCATCCATAACTAGGAAAGTGCAAACACCTCAGATTGAGAAAACTGTCCATCTTGAACTGGGAAACATCAGGAAAGAAATTCAAGGACAATAAATTGATGATGGGGTGTCAATGTCCAATCTTCTTTGCAATGACAAAAAGACAGGAATAAAAACTCCAAGTGGGGTGAAAAACCCACTCTACAGTTTCCATAGTCATTAGAAATGATACAGCCTCTTTGAGATGCTGAATTATGCACACAATCAGAGTGAGATGAAAAAACAACCAGACAAGAAGAAAGGAGAGGAGAGTACAAAAACACAGGGACAAACCACGAGAAAGCACTTATGTGACCAAAAAATCATTGCCACAGGGAGCCCACAGATACACAAATAGGGAGAGCTGAGCTTCCAAAGGACCAGAACTGAGTGGCAGTACACAATCATGTCATCTCTATGAAACACAACAGTCACCCCTAAAAAGTGGCCATTTGTGAGAAACCAGAAAAACAGGAAAGACTACTGGCAATCCCAAGGTTCTGAAGAATTGGAAACACATCCAAAGACTTTGTGAAGAAGGAAAGAATTGAGAGGAAGGTATCTGAAATAAGGAGGAGGGAGGCACACATCCACAAGGAAGGAATTCTGAGCAAGCAAATCTCAAAATCAAAGAAACCATATCAACAATGAACCATCAGTAGAAGAGATGGATGCCAGGGTGGTATACAAATAGAAAGGAATGTCATCATCAAAACTGTCAGGGTTTTGATGGAGAGTCTTCAAGAGAAAGAGAAGCACAGATGAATAGCAAAGGAGTTGCATGATAGTAAGATGAAGGCAAGTAGATTGATAAATAAGAGACAAAGAAGGAGAATGGGGGGAACCATAATCTGAAAGAAGAGATTCTAGGGACTGAAGTTCAAGAAAAGAAGAAGAATCATGACTACAGGACATACAAAATTAGTGTGAAAATAAGGATGTCAAGGTGACATGGATCAGTGGGTAGTTGGTGCAGTAAAGCACTAACATGAACTTGAATGGCTGGGTTGGGGGGAGAGAAAAGAAAGTCAAAAGATGGAGGATCATGAAGCAAAGCAATCCAAGATTCATCAAAAACTACTGGAGAAAGAAAGTCTCATACTTGAGTTATTAGAGTTGTAAAGAAAGAAGGCAGAGGTACCTGTTCCTCATCAGGAAGAGAAGAACCAGAAGCAAAGGCAGGCAGTAGGAATAGCTGGTTGAAGTCATTGAAAGACAAGGTAGGCTTGGCAGAAGCAATATAAACAAAAGATGAGGGACCTCAAGTAGAGACGAATGACACAGAAGAGTACCAACCATTTGATGTACAATGACAATAACATCTTTGATAGCCAAAGTGCTTCTTGTGACAGCTGAAATAGCAGGTGGGGGATTTTGAAGTGGAGTGTCAGAGACCCAGGAAGTAGCAGAACTGTGGATGTAAGATTTTATGGTCATAAACAACCCTTGAATTTTTTTAAAAACATAAATCACAATTATAAGGTGGTTAAACAGATGAGCATACTCATAGTAAAAAAAAAAAAGAACTCTAAGACAAACTAAATGAGCAAGACAAAGAAAAGGCAGCTCAAGGTAAAAAATCAAATTGCCACGCAAGTCCTATAAAGGATGAAAAAAGTACACAAAAATCACATCTGAGTATTATCAGTGATGAGGAAAGAATGGACCTTTGTTCAAATGCTAGTACTCTTGGGGATTACTGCACATGGAGGATGTGTTGCCTTCCTACTGGTGGAGGACTATAGTCCAATGATGATTATATCATAGACTGGTACAATACACATTGAAACATGTAGGGTTGGGAGCTTTGTTCAAGGCTTATGGAATGCACAGGAAATTACACAGCAGTGCATGCAAGGTAATTGTTGTTTGTGGTGAAGAGGTGAGTAGTGTTTTTAAATCATTATATATTTAAGCAATCTTGTTTTAGCTTCAAAGTGTAACTCCCAAATTCCATACAGTTACTTTTATAAATAAATTACATCCACATTACCAAAATTAGTCAGAAATGTCATGTAGTTTATTCATGGTAAACTCTGTACCTAATTTAATATCTTAGTATCATTCATCAGTTTGACATACATTTAGTAAATACTAAAATGATAAGACATTTAACAAAAGTCTGTTTTATATCAGTTAATGAACTTCGTACTGTATCATCCCATTTTTTAGAGAAATAAATAACTTTTTTTTTTACTATATTGAACACCATAATCATACCACATGTAATACATGGACTAAAATCTTAATTACTTTGAGCAGATAATTAAAAGTTAGGTGTATGATTTCTACAAAGTTATATTACTTACCAGTAAACTGCTTTGGGTAGCTTGGCACAATCTCACCTTTATTTTTAACTCTAACACAGAGGTGGATCAAAACCAACATGGTCAGTATCATGATAACACTTTGGATCAGTAATGGCAATTCAAATGGATGACCAAACCTATTAAAAAATATAATAGTCTAAAGAGGGAAAGACATACAAAAAAATCCCAACTTTATAAATGCAAAAATATAATGTATTACATTAATATATATATATGAGTATAAAATTACAACAGTAAAAAACAATATCACAAATTTCAGTCACAAACTAACTGACAACTTTAGTGTAGGTTATGTTATTTAATAGACCATCCAAGTTCACATGATTTACAAGTGCAACATTCACATTTGCCATTTCAGATGTCAATCTATCTATTGTTTTGTGTCAATGGTAGTGATAAAGTTAAGTGAATATACTCTGAATCTTGAAAACACTATGCCAAATGTCTTATGAAAATAAGCTGAGAGAATCAATATGAATCATTTTGTTGTTTTCAATCCACATATCATTCTAGATGGCCTAGACAAGTCTTCATGTCAGTGACTTGCCTAATCATGATGTGAAGTCAAAATAGGTTCAGCTTCCAGTTATTGTGATACTTAGTTGTAGTTTGTTGAAATTGTATGAAATTACATAGAAACCTGAATGGTTATAAATTCTTAGCAAGACGAGGTGTCAAATGTACCTTTGTAACTGCTAAGGCAAGTTTTTTGTAGCTTCTACTTCGTTTATCTTCCATAGTCTCTACTATGAGCATAAACTTGTTCAGTACTAACCATTAGTAGTATTTATTCATTGTGATGTTACCTGTATGCCTCTCGGTCTACAACAAAGAGGTGTCTGACTCACCCTGGCCTAATCTAATGACAGTATCTATATCATTGTAATTACATACATTATTCATTAGTGTTTGTAGATATGATAGAGGTCCCTTATCAAATATCAAAAGTTTCAATAATTAATAAATAGCATGATACTTAAACACATATTTAATTACAAAGTTTAAATTCATATAAATGTTGCTTAAACGTGTTCTAATAACTTTCACAAAATATGCACTACAGATACGGGAATACCATGAAAGTTGCCGATTTTGACTTATAGCTACAGCAACCCATATTGATTTTCTTTCTGGGTCAGCTGGAAATCTGTTAAAAATATCTATACCCAGTTCTGAATCCTGTTCACTGGTGCAGCTAAATGCATAACAGCAGAAAGACATTTTAAAGATTTGTTTCATTGCCGAGAGTATATACATGTTGCCATCCAATATGGTATCACCATATTGTCATGATGTCATTCTGAAAAGGTTTATCATCATTATATGCAAAGTTCAAATTAATAACACTTAGTTTCTTAAACAATTTGAAGGAGGTTTAGTTTACTTTACTCAATGTAATTTATGCTTCGCTTTAACTTTAGAGTTAGATTTATAAAAAAAAAATCATTCATAAGTAAAACGAATCATATTATTTATATTTCATGGAAAGCAATATATATATATATATATATATATAAGTTTCACAAAATGCTAAATGTTTTTATTCTTGCTTGACATTTTTGTAAATGATACAAACATATTTAAACCAACATTAAAATGAAACAACTGCTTCTATACATTAAACAAAGTGTAAACACTAACCAAATATTATTCTTAGAGTATTTGCTATCAGTAGAGCAAGGCACACATAGGTTGAAAATCCTTCTGCACTTTCAAGGCCTTTAATGTCTCTATATTGGGGTATGTATGGGACAACCCCACCAAAAATCATAGCTAGTGAAGCACACCATGACACAATGTTTGAGACCGTCAGATGTTCTAAGACGTCCATAGAATCCATCCTGTAATGATGAAATGAAACTATAATAATAAAATACAACTGTAATGGTAAAATACAACTTTTAAGAAGAAATACGAATGTAATGATAAAAATAGAAGTTATTTTCCTATACTGAAAATATATCTCCAATAGGTACTTACCTCCTTCCACATGTATAGCTATTCTCATTCAGTGCTGCCCTCTATATGCTAAAATATTTTCACATGCCATAAACATCGAGCTCCTTGTACCCCACGATCAATGAGGTTCATTATGTCTCATATCTAAATCGCCATGCAGCAACCCTTTACCAACAGGAGTGTGACACACTCTCCTGATGCATGTGACTCTCTCTATTAAATTCTACCAAACTATCACTTTGAGATTAGGCAGTAAGGACGCACAAGTTTTAAGTGGGGAGAAAGGGCAGGAAGGGTGAGAGGAAGTAAATACCTATCAGAAATATATTTTCATTATAGGAAAATAATAACTTCCAATACGTGTACGTATAGCTAGAATCCCTTGTTGAAGAGGTGAAGGGACCGGTGCAAGGGATAAAAAGAAGTATCCTTCAAGAGCACTTAACAAACACCCATGAAGTGGGATCCCAGTTGGGAAAAGAACACACACGGGAGACAACACCACTTCTGTACCAGGTATACTTAGCACCCAGTGTAGAAATAGATGTCGCATACATGGGCAGAAAGTGGGAGGAACACAACCAGAAAAGGAGAGAAAAATCAGGTTAGTGTGAATTAAAATCTCAATCCTGGTGTAGAAATGACTGTAGAAGAACCATCCTCAGACAACAATATGAGGAAAATGGATGTGCCCAAAGATGTAAAATGGCTAGGGCATTTCTTGGACAATACACGGCTGGTCCACTCCAATCCAAAACTAAGGGAATAACATGTCTGACCTGTAGTAGGAGGAGGGTCCACACCATCTTCCCCTCAATTGAGTAGAACAGAAGCATATACTTTTCAAACAGAACTAGAAAATGGGGTACATGTGTGCAAATACACAATCAAAACCATATATCTGGGAATCAGACATCCAAATGAATGCCAGCAGGGACACATCAATGTGGAGATTCACATCAAACCAAACCCAATCTGACTGGAACCCCACATTGCAACAACAGCCTCAGGTATGGAAACTTTCTGAGATTGAGCACTAGAGGGACGAACCCCCCCCCCCCACCCAAAACAACATTAATCTCCAGATAGGACCACACAAATGTTGGAGTGCATGTGTGAGCAGCATCAACCTCTGGGACCCACCACACAGAGGTAGAGAATATGAAGCAAATCTATGAAATTGGAGTTAGGATGAATAATCACAACCAATACATGTGTGAGGATACATGTTGATTGGTCTAGCTCTAATCCAAAACCACACACTTGGAACTGACATGATGGTAGGATGAAGGATCTCAATCAGAGGGGTGAACTGCATTGTGACAGATCTACTCCAAAGCAACATTATCCTCCAGATAGGACTGCACAAAAGCTGGCATACAACATCAACCTCCAAGTCCCACTGCATGGAAATGGATCGCTTCTGTAAAAAAATATGCAACCTTAACCTCCTAGACACACTGCACAGAAGTGGAGTGCATGATTGGAGGATTGAACACCATCTACACCAGCAGAATACCACTGCCCTACTCTCTATTGAATGGAAGTGATCATATTCAGTAGGACTCCTCCGTGGTCCACCACCCCAGCAGCACAGAACTGGAAAGTGGCAAGAATTCCCATACTCCACTAGAAGAACAAGGTGGGACAAAGTGCAGTGGAGAATCTGGAGGAATGCTGACACTGGAGACAGTGCAATGTGTGACCATGAAAACCCTACTTTGAAAAGCAGACTACTCCTGATTTATTCAATCGAAGGCATGGCAGGGATGAGCAGTTATTTCCTTCTGCTTTACCCATATAAGACCATGGGTTAGTACAGTCTGGAATGGCATACTTATGAAGCAAATATATTGTGAGGAAACCTATAAGCAATCTTGTGTAAAACCCCATCTTCACAGTATGCATTATTGGCCATAGATATACATCTTGGTCGTACAGTGCAAATTTGAGAAATAGGTAGCACACCTGGATACTGAGCAGGATCCTAACCTAAATGGGACATGCCACTGAAAGGAAAAAATTATATAAATACAAAAGACAACTTATCCAGTCACAGCCTCACTGAAGTTTGAAGGATGGCAACAGGTGGAAGATGGTACCCTGATGAGGAAGAAACAGTCACCCAATGAAAATAGTGAGAGATAAACATATTAGGTGTAGTCCACATGCATGACTGAAGAATTTCCTCCAACAGACAATAGAGGTGAGATGCCAGGGAAAAGGTAAGATGTCTGATCTAATGGAATAGATTTTGGGAACAAGGAGACAGGGAGAAATATGCAAATCTAATCAGTTGCCAAACCCAACTTGTAAGGGAAGAAGGAGAAAGGTCATGTACAGAGGATAGTTTCCAGGGGATGAAAAGGCAGGAATGGGAACCAAGTACAGGACCTAGAAGTTGATCCAAATCAGACTGGGAATAAAGATGGAAGTGAAATTGGTGAGAAGGAAGAATGTCTCTCATGAGCTGCCAAAGTTTTGGGGAGGAAAGATTGATCCAGATAACAGAGAACATATGTGGAATGGTACAGTGTATGTGAAATGTTGATGGCAAAGATGTGAGACCAACGAAGTGCATAGGATGAAAGGAATAGGAAATAAGTCTTAAAGGATAAGTGAAACAAGGAAATTGAGAACAAAAGTTCAAACAAAGGTAGTGTAAGGCAGTAAAGGACAATATTGACATTCCAATCCGGAAGAACTGCCCAACAAGGAACTCTACAGATCTGGAAAGAACATAATAAAAGGGAGATGGTAGGGGAAAAAATACCAAACAAAATCAAGAAAAACAAAAGGTGCTGGATAAAGCTGCTTGATAATCAGCTATGGAAGAGACAGAAGCCCCATGATTGAACAGAAAGATGAGGAAATCCATAAGAAGAAGAACTGTGGGCTGAGAAAGAGAAAAATCTCAACTGAAAGACCAATGGCAGAAGATGTTCTATTTACGTTGATAAACCTCAAGAGAGGAAGGACTTGCCCAGACAATCCAGATCTCCTTGGCAGGGACCTGATAAATGACAGGATGAAAGACCGGTGACTGAGATAGATGGTTAAGGGATGGAGTGAGAGTAGCAATCAGAGTGGCATGGATGATAGAAATCACCCTGGGAAGAAGTTGGATGGGAGGATAAGCATAAAGATACCAGTTGGACCAGTCCTGGTTGAGAGTATCCACAGCCCGGGCCTGAGGATGAGGAACCATAGACCAAAAAAAAGAGGTAACTTTGTGTTGAGGAAAGTGGCAAATGCAACCTGAGGGTCGTTCATGGGATAAACCTCAACTGCTCTGGAAAGGTGATATGCCATGAGGTTGAAAGCACCCAAAACATGATAGGCAAGAGGAAGAGAGAGAGAGCAGCAAAGGCATGGAGAACTGAAAGCTCCAGCAAACAGAGACAAAGTGAAGAAGGTTGGGCTCAACTGAGGTTAGTGTTGAAAAATACACCGAAGTGGAGAAATTAATTGGTAGGTAAAAGAAAAGACTTCTTCAATTTGAGAATCTAACCCATACGAGCTGCTTCTGTCAGTAGCAGATGTGTGTGTTGTGAAGACCCCATTTCAGAATGAGCTACCAGGAGCCACTCATCCATGTAGTGGTGTAAATACAACCCACGAGCATGCAGAAGTTGGGTAAAGGCTTTGACGCAAAACTTATACACAACTCTGTGGTGGAAAAACCAAAGATAGAAACAGGAATATGGAGAATGCATTCAAGACGTCTACCTTGGTCATCCACAGCCCTGGAGAAAAAGCTCACAGCAGTGTGAGAAAGGACTCCATGGTAAAGCAGGGAAGATTTAAAAAGTGGTTGAGGCAGTACAGATCATTCACAGGACACCAGTCTCTAGTTTCCTTGGGATGGAGACTACAAAAAACCTGGGGAAGGTTGGCCGACAGGCTCGATAGTTCTCTGTGATAGAAGAGTCAGCACAACCTTGGATACATGCTGACTGGTAACAGGATCCCAAGGTGACAGAAAGTATATCAGTACAGGAGACAACAGTGGCAGGGAAAGGAAATGGATGAAAAGTCCTTCTGACAAAACCTGGTTCACCCAAGGATTGGTAGTGAATTCCTGCCATAGGGAAACAAAGTTGGCCAAACATGCTCCCACTGGATAGACACAAATTGTCGAACCCCTAGCGGTAGGAACTGGTAAAAGGATGGGAGAGTGCAGGACAGGAAACAGTAACAGGAGAGGGTATTGGATCAAAATGAGACAAATGAGCAACCAAAGATGAAAGGGTCTAATGTTGTCTCACAGATTCCATACGTGATTTCAAAAACTCAGGAATATCTTCAAAAACAGGCTGATGGAAATAAAAGGAGCCATCCAAAAATCACGTAGATAAGTGGAAGATAGATGAACCTGTGACAACACAATCCCTTCCAATAAGATCCCAACAGCAAAAAATCACGTGTGAAGGGATAGGACTAAAGAGGACAATCGTACCAATGTGGAAGTAATGAGGGAAAAGGTATCCCCCCAAAACCCCTCAGGAAATCGGTGGAGTGCCTTAAAAAGGAGACACATCATGGACCAGTAACATAGGATAGCTGTAAGGGTAAGATGTGCATGGCATTAATGGATAGGATTTTCAGGGTCAGCCCCACACCCAGGCAAACACGACTCCAACTGCTAAGAGGTGAGAAAGGATTATTCATCCTGATAAGCCAAAGCATAATGATAAAAAGCCTGTGGAGGGCAAGGCATGCTAGCACCTGCTCTCAACTGAGAAACGAAATGCTTAGCATGAGCCCTGATGTCAGAAGAAGGAGGGAAAACAAGGTACTCTAAGAAGGGGTTTTATGTAACATGGAAGAAACAGGATCATATGAAATGAGGGAAATGAATTAAATGGAACATACCTGAGAAATCATATCCAAAATGGCTGAGTTAGGCCTAGCAGATTCCACAGGGGAGACTTGGGAAGGCACAGCATAGTTAGATCTAGGAAAAAGGATGTCAAAATTCTCCTTGTCATGAACAAGTTCAGAAGATTCAGGAGGAAGTCGAAACATTATCGGGAGAAGAAGGTTGACTCATATAATGATCAATTTCCCAACGAATGATAGCCAAGAAATCCTCAGTCGAGACCTCTGACCTGAAGCCTGTGTAAAGGTGCTGGAAGTAGGTGGAAGAATATAGAAGTTGTGAAACAAACTTCACATTTCATCATAAAGGGTGAAGAATTCAAAAAATAAAAAATAAACAAAGATAAGTTATCATGGCAAAAAACTACAGAAAAAACTGTAGCAAAAGAATAATTAAATTGAAACACTTCTTTGCAGAAAAAAAAATCAACACATGAAGAGAACACAATTGAAAAACATCTGCACTACATCACTGCCTAATGAGAAGTGATAGTTCAGTAGAATCAAATAGAGTCACATGTGTTGGAAGGGTGTCACACTCATATTGGCGGAGGGTTGTCACATGATGAGTTACGTGCAAGATGCAGTGAACCAAGATGATCTTGGAGTATGTGGGAGCTCAAGGCTTGTGACATATGATAAAAATTTTTGCATATAGAAGGCAGCACTGAACAAGAACAACTATACATGTGAGAGGAAGTAAGATACCATATCAGAACTACAGTTAGGGTCGACAGACTCAGCACAATCTACCAAGGACACACATTTAGTTCGTCATGCCTTCTGTCCACTATATTATGACTATTCATATAGTCCTCAAGCCAACTGCGCTTAATAATTGCTCTTATGCTATTCAATTGTTTCCCTTTGTCCATGTTAATGATGACAAAGTAGACCCACTAGCATATGAAATCAGGCATGCCTAGTATAAGTTTAAGTTTTGTTCACATTAATATATTTTTGATTGTTTTCTAATAGTGATAATCTTATATTAGTGTATGAAGTTATATGATATAATATACTGAGAATCTAACTGTACTCTTTATGCATGCCAAGTTCTAAATGCTTATGAGGCTGATATAATGAGCTACATGAAATTATGTATCTGTGCTGTTTCTAAATGTATACAACAACATGGTGGCTACCATAGTGCTGAAATTTTTAAAAATGAAAAAAATAAAGTACTTAGATATTATAAAAGCAAGTCTTTCAAAGTTCAGTTTCTAAATTTTTTTCATTGGTAAAGTCAAAGAAATGATGAATATATGAGAAAATCTGTATACCCTGTTAAATGCTCTTCAAGATACACTGGTTGTAAATTCAACATGAGCTAACACATAGGTGTAGGGGTTTCATTTCGACTGGGGGAGGGCAAGCAAGTTTTGCCCGAAAATATAAAACTGACTTTAAAATCATGTACTACAGGGTTTAAAGTCACTTGAAAAAATGGTTCCAATGACTTCCATGCAGAACCATATGGTGCTAAAGGGTTAAAGGGTGCAAGTGAAAATGTCACATGTGGATAACATATTTTCTGAAAAGGCATAATCAATTTGCAAGTAAAAGTTATAGATATGTATAGAGCTTTTGCCTGAATATTTTGAGTTATTTTTGCCCAAAAAAACTATTAAAGCCAGAATTTGAGGGGCAATTGCCCCCCTTGACTCCTATGCCTATGAGCTAACATAGGACTCACTAACCCATTAAAAATGCCATAATGTATTTTCCAATTAACACAGAGACTCAATTCTGAGAGATATGGATCGTAATTTTTTGTGTTTTATACGTAATCATAAGTTACCTTGAGATTTTAAAAATTTATAATTTTTTTAAGTCCCTACTATGGTGATACAAAATACAACTGTAGTGATAAAAATTCAACTTTAGTGACAAACTACAACTAACCCAATTCTGATTTACGACATAAATAAAACTGATGAAAAATTACACTCCACCAAATTGATCCAGTTCATACTGTACAGTTGTTGTCATATAATTTGTTAATATAAACAGATTTCAACTGGCCTGCAGGCCCTTGGTATTGGGCAAAAAGCCTCATTGACACTGGATATAGCAGATATAGTGTGGTTGATACATTACTATACACTCTTTTTTACTTTCACTCATAAGTTCTTCTTAGTAATCTATCTCAAAAATTAAATGCTGTCATTGAACCTTAAAACATTCTGATAGGCTATTTCACTGAACAAAGTATAGTGTTTTCTAAAATCAAAATTTCAGCACTTTCTTTCTGTACACAAAAAATATTTTAACAATACTTCATAACTAGCTCTTGAAATTGAAGCTAACACACATTTACTTCCATAGAAATATTTCTTTAAGCGATATACCTCACAATATATCCTGGTTAGATTGGCACTACTTTTATTTATACCCTCTCACTTGCTTCAAATTATGTATTTTATTTCATGTCATGAAACCTTACACAATGTATTCCACTTCACTTACATGTAGAGTTAACAAACATTATTTACTCTTTGGAATAATGATTACTGTACCTCATGAGCAGGAACTTCATACCAAAGAATATAACTGTGAATTTGAATGTCAGCTATTTTCATGGTTTTAGTTAGATCAAGAGTAAAATGTCTAAAACTTCATGTTGCTGGCTGTTATAAGAACTATGCAGATTTATAAAGTGACCTAGGTAATCTAATAAGTTCGGTGAATAAATGGCATATGATTTTTAATTATAATAAATGCAGGATAATTCATGTAGTTAAAATATAAGTATAATTTTATTTCATTTTTTGAATAGGGTGATCAGCCTTTGAAATTGGTTGTTTTCAGATGTCGTGGATGCAGTACATTTAAAGAGGTTTAAAGGAAGGCTTGATACATACTTAAATTATAAGGATCAATTTGAAGTTTTTTTCTTTTTCAAAGTTTAGTGGATGGGACAGCCTTGATGGACCAACACTGGCAACAGGCCCCTTATTGTCTCCTTAGGTGAGCTTTCATTTTCAGTTTAATTGTTATCACATTATACTAAATGTGTGTATAATGGCAATTAGATTTATATCCAATACATCACTAACAAAGTCACGGTACTTTATCAACCTCACGCACACTTGAAATAGGTTTATTAGTTATATATTATTATCTGATATAAATCTAAAAATTGAGTTTAGATCCCGACACTTTGTAAAAAAGGAAATATAAAATGGGTAAATTGTTTCATTTGATCAGTTAATACGTGAAATTTCTTTATAAGTAGCACTTTTCTAATCAATACTAAGTAATAATAACATTGTTAGTAATAATGATGTAATAGTATTAATAGATCTAGTCTATCGCGTACATTGATTATTATCCATAGTTTATGCATCAGATCTAAATACTATGGAAATTCTTACAAGTATTAGTACTACTACCACCGTGCCTAGCATTATTTGTAGACATAAGTTGTAGCAACCCAAGAATCACCTGATTCGAAAAATTGAAGTTCTTTTGTTTTAGCAGCGTCTTATTCAAGTTATTGTACTAAAAATGTAACGAGCCACAAACAGATTAAAATATTAAGTCATGAGAAGACCAAATATCAAAAAATCACATGTTAAAAATAATTCAAAATTCTAATACAATAGATTTGACGGAAAGCATAATTTAAATTAAAGTTACCATATTACAATATCGTTGCTAGCCTCTGTATAAATGCCCTCTGTGAAGTAAATTTTTTTATCTCCCGATCAAGTTTAAATAGTAAATATGTGAAATATTATTCATAGACACAATGAAAAATAAATTTAATGCCGTTATTATTTTAATAACAACTGACACGCTTGGAAATGTCGAAAGTATTATCATAATTATTTCTATTTAATTAAATTGAATTTTACAGATACTTTACTCAAAATTGATATTATAAATAATATATTTTAATATTGATATTTGTACTGTTTTTGGGATGAGGAAATTTTTAAACATCACATGATGAGCGCATATCTTAGTGACTTGAATTTGCTAGAATGTTTTGGAAACGATTTCAAAAATATTTTTAAAACAAGGTTAGGCGAGACTAGAATTTTTGAACTAATAGATTATATCATAATAAGGAAGCAGATAATTAACAGTATTCACTGTAAACTATTGGGCCACTTTAATTAAACAGTGGGATTTGACCGCTACTGTCATAAAGCACCACTGTACTCTAGTATCCACTGTCTCCTACGTTAACCTCTCGCCAATGCTCTATTGAGAGTAGAGCAGGTTGTTGATTTATTAATGCATTTGTTACAGTGGTTGGTTGATTATCAAGTTACTGAGTTTGTTAGTCGGTTTGTCAGCTACATATATTTGCCTCAGATAAGGGCAAGGGTGTCCGCAAGAAGGAGGGGGGCAATGGGGCACTTTCCCACCTGAAAAATGAGAAACATAATTCTTTCTTTATTCATTCAGCAAATGTATATGGATTTACTTTTGTTTTATTTACTTTACAATTTTACACTACTTATTACACTTTATTTTCAATTCTAATAAGAATCTCCAGGTTTGTCAGCAGCTTTACGTGAAATATCTAGATACCTGCTCTGTAACCAATATTGATAAACGCGCTACCTCGGCGGCTTCTTTAATATTGGACATGGCAATACTCACTCAGGTCATCAGAGAGACCAACGATCTTGCCGACATCCCCTGAGCCCTGACACAATGTAATCAGGATCAACCTGTTGCCACCTGCCGGCAATACCGGTAGCAGGATATCTTGCAGACACCCAATGAGACAGCGTGGTCGGCGTCAATCTGCTGCCGGTATCATGCACAGAAAAGTTTCAGCGTCATAAGCGCCAACACGACAACGTTGTGTCATAGGTCAGGTCATATGTAATAGGCCTGTTTTCAGCAAGTTACTTCAGTTTTGACTTTTGGGAGAGACATCATACTAAGAAGCTGTGAATTTACTTTGTTGGAAGACATCAGATCATAAGGTAAGAAACACTCAAGTTAATTCTGTAAAAAGCATTAAGCTTTTCAAGACGATGTTTTTCGTTATGATTATGTCCAGAGGCGTATTTTAAACATCAAACTACTTTATTCATATACGCAGTTGTTTTATATAAGGTGAAATTATCATATAAGGTTAAAAACCTAAAAGAGCAAACCAAAATTTACTATTATGGAGTATATATAGCTGCAAGTCTGCAGTATGGCTTAAACTAACCTCAGAAATATTAAACCCATCAAATCTGACTGTGGGAGCTTGCCTATTCTCTTGACTATAATAATAAAACTTTGAAGGTGGCTCCAACTTCCTTTGATTTTGACTTTGCCCCCCCTCCACCTGGAAAATTTTCTGCGCATGCCCATGGATAAGGAATTCATTATTTAAAGAAACCAATCAAAAGTCAACATATTCATTGATGGGAAATCTTTTAATTGACACTGGTTCTACAGTTACAGTTAATGCTTACTTCATCTCAAAGGAAGTTACCTCCATGAATCATAACTAAAAATCAACTCAGTAAAAATACTAGCGGCTGATCAAAGTAGTGCTACGTATTAGAATTTCGAAAGGTCTGAAGTTGAGTTAAATGATACTTTAAATTTAGGAGTTAAATTGTACTTTGGATTTAGCAGTTAAGTAAAAGTCGATATATTGTCAGTTTATGATATTTGCCAACAAGATTGATACACACAATTTTCTTTCTTAACACAACTATGTTTTAATATACAAACAACAATACAGTTTACAATAACAATTATTACAAATAGTGATCATACACAATGATTTATAAACAAAAGTTTCATAAACTTAATAACAATATAACTAACTTCTTTCTAGTCTGGAACTTCTTATCGAGGATTCACTATGAACGAGTTAATTACGAGTTGATGTAGGCACAATTCGCTTAACGGGGAGTTAGCTAGCTTTGCCCTTTGTTATTCACCAGCCACACACGCCGCGTTTTTCCACGATGAAGTTATATAATGTTTTCGTAAAAATACTAATGTCCGATGAGAATCCACTGAAGTTAAATGATGTAAAATGCTCGAACTTTGTAAATGTTCCTGGTTAAATATCTGAAGTTTTCCGATTAATAAGCGCTAATCACAATTATAGTTTTAGCTTCCGAAGTTTATAGCACATTAACTATGGCAAACTAATAATAGATACTTCCATTTTAGGTGCATCGGGTTGGTTATATTTATAGGCGTGTTGAGAGTTTCTAGAAAATTCATATTACGTAACAATACAAAGCTACATTAAGCATTTATGCACATACATATATTGCTGATCTTACACTCGAGAATCTTCTACAACTTTAGAGAATAGGCGGGAGTTTCGTAATACATATTTAAAACTATAAGCTATGCATGTTTCTAAATATAAATTTAATCTAAACAAACGTTTATATTAAAATAAGTATATAATAAATCCGTCACAGAAACTACCTCCATGGAACACAACTAAAATTCAACCCAGTAATAAGTCTAGATAATTAACAATACTATACTTATGCCATTACTCATAAATGTTAAAATGCATGATTTCATAGTTGGGTATTCTTACGCTAGCGACATTTTCGGCAATAATCTCAGTAATACCTCACAAGGTTTATTTAACTTGGTCTGGTAATGAAAGATGGGAAATTACCCGTAGAGATGAAGTAATGGGATGGATTGATGCGAACTGCAAATGGTCATAAATTTTAGAAAGGAGAAGTTGGAAGCCAGCCTAATGTGGAAAGCTCCACTACACAACATTATGCGACTGTTACGACAGCGGAAGTCACGTGACGCTGGTAACTCGTAATGAGCTCTAGAAAGATCGGGGAACATCACGAATAATCCAGTATTTGCTAGGGCCCTCTATTCTTGTATATAAGTGCGCCAGACAATGAATTAGGATTGAATAGCGGACAGAAAGATTGAAGATATAGACGGACAATTGAGTCAAGAGCGGTAGTAAGTAACGTGCGTGAATCGTTCGTTGAGAATTATAGCGTGTGTTTAAGTGACTGTGGAAATTAAGTGT